AGAAAAGACTGGATAGCCAATTGTCTCAAATGGTATAAAATACTCCTCCTCAAACAGGGGGTTGGACTAGAAGACCTCCAAAGTCCCTTCCAACTCTGCTATTCTGTTTCTATAATGTCCACCTTCCCTTATAAGATAATCAGGGAAGAGGACAGAAACACTTTTTCACAGCTGGGACATGCCGTTTGGAATAGCCTACTGTAAAAATGAAAGAATATAGTCCTTTTATGGCTCTTGGACTTCAACTCCCAGAACACCTGACACACCTGGCTCAGGAATTCTGGGAGTTGAAGTACACCAGTCCTAAAAGGCCCCAGTTCCCCACAGCTAGCCTACAGCAAGGTTGCTCAGTTTGGGGCGCTGTAAGATATGTGGACTTCAACACACATGGGAAATTCTGGGAGACCACACCTCATAATGTGGCCCGAAGGAAAGGCGATACCTTTTTAAAAGCACACAACACTAAAAACGCAGTTAAATTGAACAATGAAAACGAATTCAGGGATGAAAGAAACGAGGACAAAGAGATTAAAAGGTATCAGAAGGAGCCTTTAAGCGATGCTCTCTCCGGAGGAGGTTCGTCCAGAGCAACTCCCCCAAACAACAGCTCCTGGGAGGGACCGCCCCCTTTTCTGCCCGCCTGTTTCCCAACCATTGAATTCCAGGCCTACAGGATCTAAAACAAAGCATAGAAAAGCAAGTGACGGGAAACGATCTGGAAGGGCCAGGAAAATAATAATAATCTCCCCAAGGAAAAAGTGGGATCTTAATAGCCCCTCAGAAACTTCTATTAAGGGTCACTTGTCCAAGCAGTTCCCCAGGTGAGACGGAAGGAAGGAAGGAGCGTCTTATCTGGAACTCGATAGGAAAAAGGCGGCCCTCTTCCTCGCCCGCCCCCAAGAGATGCTCGCAGTAAAAGATCCGCGATCGCCGCCGGCCACGCACGTGGATCCCCCTCCCCGGAGCGACCCCAGCCAAGTGTTTTCCTCCACGATTACCACGTGCGAAAAGGGAAGGGAGGGAGCAAGGAAGGAGGGAGCTTTCTTACCTGGCGCCCTCACGGAAAGGCGGCTCTGATCCTCGTTCCAAGAGATGCNAAAACGGAAAGGTGAGGAAGAACCAAGGATTGGATTCAGAGGCAGCTCTCTCGGCCATGAATGTATGCATTAAAGAACCACAGAGGTGGACTCTGAATGCCTCAAGCAGATCTCCTCCCATATGCAGGGAGTTGTGCTGAGTTGTGAATCCGGAATAAAAGGCCTGGCCTGACACCAACAAAGAGACTCAGTCCTATTCACTTTCAAATTCTCTATCACCTTTTCCAGATATGGGATATAGGTCTTTATTTCAGCCATTTCAATGTAAGAATCCTGATCACCAGAATCCTGACTAAGATGCTCCTTCACTGGAGGCTGTTAAGAAGAGACTGGATAGCCAATTGTCTCAAAGGGTATAAAATACTCCTCCTCAAACAGGGGGTTGGACTAGAAGACCTCCAAGCTCCCTTCCAACTCTTTTATTCTACGTTTCTATAATGTTCACCTTCCTTTATAAGATAATCAGGGAAGAGGACAGAAACACTTTTTCACAGCCTACTGTAAAAATGAAAGACTATAGCCCTTTAATGGCAGTTGGGTTTCAACTCCCAGAACACTTCATACACCTGGCTGATGGATTCTGGGAGTTGAAGTCCACTAGTCCTAAAAGGGCTCCACTTCCCCACCCCTGGCCTAGAACGAGGTTTCTCAATCTTGGGAGCTGTTAAGATACGTGGACTTCAACACACATGGGAAATTATGGGAGTTGAAATCCACATATCCCACAGGAAAAGTGCGATACCTTTTTTAAATGCAGACAATACTTTAAAAACGCACTTAAATTGAACAATGAAAGCGAATTCTGGGATGAAAGAAACGAGGACAAAGAGATTAAAGGGCATCAGAAGGAGCCTTTACCCGATGGTCTCTCCGGAGGAGGCTCGTCCAGAGCAACTCCCCGAAACAACAGCACCTGGGAGGGATCGCCCCCTTTTCTGCCCGCCGGTTTCCCAGCCATTGAACTCCAAGCCTCCCGGATCTGAAACAGAGCAGAGAAAGGAAGTGACGGGAAACGATCAGGAAGGGCCAGCAAAAAAAATTATAATAATCTCCCCAAGGAGAATGTCAGTGTTTGCGGGAGCGAGTTTAGCAACGCCCCCAAGAAGCTGCATTGAGCTTTTCCCAGGAAGGATGGAAGGAGCTTTTTACCTGGAGCTCGGTAGGAAAAAGGCGCCTCTCTTCCTCGCCCGCCCCCGAGAGTTGCGCGCAGGAAAAGATACGCGATCGCCGCCGGCCACGCACGGGGAATCCCCTCCCCGGAACGACCCCGGGAAGGAGTTTGCACAGCCCAAGCTGGGAACGCTCGTAGCTCTTCCCCTGTCCCGCCCAGCTCCTCCCACTCGCTAAAGCGCAGAGAACGCCTCCCACTCGGGAGTCCTCTGCTTGCCCCCTTCCTTCTGCCACGGGGGAATCGTTCCCGCGTGGGGTAGGCAGCAAGTCCAGGGCTGCTTCGCCCCAGGCAGTCAGAGAAGCAAGGGAGAGAGGGAGGGAACGACGCCCAGGAATGGGAGAAGGGAAAGGGATGCGGAGCAGCTAAGTTAGGTGGAAATCACCCTTTTGGGGGGGAAAACTGGAGTAGCCAGATAAAGGCGGCTGCCTTATTCACTGATCCTAACAGGGCAGTCCTCAACTGACAACACATCTCCTACAATGACCAACATTCATGATTGTGCCATAACAAATCATCAATGGCTGCCTTACAAGTAGTCCTCGACTTAACGACCATTCAATTAATGACCCTTCAAAGCTGCAACGGCCCTGGAAAATGTGACTTACGTCCATTGCTCACACTAAAGGGGTGGGGAATTTTTGGTGGGTGGGGGTGTTATTTGGGGATTGTCGTGTGGTTTCTGGGTGTTATGTGAATTTCATTGTATGGGTATACTGTGTATATACATACAATGACAATGTAAATAAATAAATAAACACCATTGCAGAATCCCCATGGTCGTGCAATCCGAATTCAGCCGCTTGACCACTGACTCATATTTATGACAGTTGCCGTGTCTCGGGGTCATGTGAAGCTTTGGACAAGCAAAATCAATGGGGAAGGCAGATATTTTTAACAACCATGTTGCTAATGTTAAATACTGTGGTGATTCACATAACAACTATGGGAAGAAATATTGGAAAAAAAAGACGAAATTGACATCAAATTTCTCACCACCACAGAAATTTTGGGTTG